TAGCATTCTGTGATTCCTGATGGCTGTTTCCTCTTGAAAAGAAGCACGGGGGCTATCCAGTGTGTGTAACTCTTTTGCTGCCTTTCTCTTACTCCATCTTTTGGGTGTTTTTTTTTTTTGGAATAACGTGTGCAGAGTTGGTCTGGCTGCTCTCGGTCGTGCGTCGCTGCTTTTTTTTGGGAGCTGAGGGAAGGTGTTTGAGTTGAACAAGGTCTTCCGTCTCCGATGTGGGCAGCAGGTAGCAGAGAAGAAGGTGTGGAAAGGTTGTTTTAATTCAAGAGCGGGAGGTTTTAATGTTTCAAAAGAGAAGTTATGGTTGTAATACAAACGTTTGGCTTCCCCTGTCTGTCTGTACTGAAGCATTGCAGGTCCTGGAACAGACGTTCCCTGACCTCTGTGCAGTGCAGCTTTTTAACCTTGTGTATAAATATCCTCTGGGTACCTACACAGTTGGTTTTGGGGTTCAAAACGTGCTGATACTCCCTAACTGGCGACCCAGGGGACACACGACACGTGCTCACCGGCTCTGCGGATAACAGCTGTCGGCTCTGGGACTGCGAAACGGGTGAGACTCTTCTCTTCCCACGTAGCTGCGTTCGAGTCACGGCTGGGTCCTGCCCAGAGCTCTGTTGAGTTGGGAGACGCGGTGGCAGCACGACTCGTGCTTGTTCGCCCCCCTGAAAGAGCTCTGGATCCAAACTCAGACAGGAGTGGAGAGGGTGTGTGTGTGCCTGGTGTTCAGTGCAGATCCAGTGACTTGACTTGTGTTACCGCCCAAGCAGTCACAACACATGGTCAGAGCTTGCAGGTCACGGAACCTGCTCGTCAGCTACGGCTCATGCTCTCATCCTGCACCTGCCCTTGAGCTGATTTTTTTCGTTAACCTTGCAATAAAATACCCGGTTTCTGCTCTCTTCTCAGGGAAGCAACTTGCTCTGGTGAAGACCAGCTCAGCAGTGAGGACGTGTGGCTTCGACTTTGGAGGAAACATCATCATGTTTTCCACAGACAAGCAGATGGGATATCAGTGTTTCGTGAGCTTCTTTGACCTCCGGGACCCCAGCCAGATCGGTGAGGGCCCTGCACCGGGGAATAAGGGGAAATGTTGATCACTGGAGCTGATGCCACTGTGTCTGTCTGTCTGTCTCCTTCCTTCCTCCCTGCAGAGAACAACGAGCCTTACATGAAAATCCCCTGCAGTGACTCTAAAATCACCAGTGCTGTGTGGGGCCCTCTGGGAGAGTTCATCATTGCCGGACACGAGAGCGGAGAGCTGAACCAGTTCAGTGCCAAGGTCAGTGCGATAAAGGAATGGCCCCTCCCTCGGGCAGCGGAGCTGAGGGAAGATGTCACAGCGTTCCTGGTGTGTTTGCGGGGCAGAATATGGGCTTTTTGGCTCAAACCAGCAGCCTCTTGGAAGGATAGTTAAAATACTTGGCTCCCTCTGTGTACCAACATCTGCCTCGCTGCTGACAGCACCTTCTAAATGGTTTTTAACGGAGAAGGCGCACGTACGCTTCCGTCACACTGAAACTGCCTTCTTTACCCTTCAGTCAGGGGAGCAGCTTTCAAACATCAAGGAGCACACGAAGCAAATCAACGATATTCAGACCTCCAGGGACATGACCATGTTCATCACTGCCTCCAAGGACAACACGGCCAAGGTAAGGCTTCGGAAACGCAGTGGGCTGTGAGTGTTTGCCTGCAGGAGCTCTGCTCAGAGCTGGAGCTGTTGCAGGCGTTTGCTCCTTAGAGGTTTGAGTAAGTGGAAAGTCAAAGCTTAGCAGGAAAGTTCAGAGAAAGTGGAGGCACCACCACTTTAAATTAACGGTCAGGCGTTGAAGTCAGCATTGCCTAATGTATCTGTAGTACCTTAGGCCAGAATTTGGTGATTCTGTGGAAGTGTTTTGGAGATTTGGGTGCCCACGAGCAACTGCAGAGCCAACAGCAGCCAGATTTGTGTGAGTCAGTCGGGCTGCCAACTTCTCTGCAAAATGACTCTCTCCCTTTTGCCTCCTAGCTATTCGACTGCACGACACTTGAGCATTTGAAAACGTTCCGGACAGAGCGACCGGTGAACTCTGCTGCACTCTCCCCCATTTTCGATCACGTAAGAATGAGTTTGCTTGTTGTAACATTCTTACTGTGACTCCCACCGTGTCCCAGCTAGCTGGAAGGTGGAGTGTTGCCAGTCCAGCAAAAAAACGTGACTGTGGGATGGCTCAAGTGTCTCTGGGAGGCAGGAACTTCTCTGGGGCGAAGTCAGGTTTGCTCTTGAGTTTGTGGGATCGGCTGAGTTAGTAGGAGGCATCCCCAAGGCTCGGCTCGTAAGCAGCACTGAGGTATTGTGGCTTCTCTCCCACGCAGGTCGTGCTTGGTGGTGGGCAGGAGGCCATGGATGTGACCACGACCTCCACCAGGATTGGCAAATTTGAGGCCAGGTAGGTCCTTTTCCTCTGGCAGGGCTGAGTCCTCCTGACAGCCCAGGGGTGCTTGTGCCAGAGCATCTCACTCCTGGCAGCGTTGGAGGAGTCATGAAACTCGCAGAGCTTTTTTGAGGAAACCCTCATTGTGTTCTCTAAGCAGGCCCCCAGTTTCGTCATAAGTTTTCTCTTTCTCCCAGGTTCTTCCACTTGGCTTTTGAAGAAGAGTTTGGCAGAGTGAAGGGTCACTTTGGTCCCATAAATAGCGTTGCTTTTCATCCTGACGGGAAGAGGTGAGGATCTCTGTCTTGCAGCGTGCCCCACTCAAGCCAGGCCCACCTTTTGATTAGGGTGTGGCTCTGGTTCGGGCAGGATCTCTGTTTTGGAGCCAGCCCCGTTGTTAACTCTCACATTCCAGCCCTGCTGTCTCCCCAGGGCTGGCTGGGGGGTTCCCTTAGGCCGTGTCACATCTTTTGGCTGAGGCACTTTTTTTTGTCTTGTGACTTCTTGATTGGCTTCTGGAGGGGGTTGTATAAACCTAGAGGCAGCGAGCTCCCGGCCACATCGGTGATTTCCTCCTGTCTTTCCTCCCCCGCAGTTACAGCAGCGGCGGTGAGGATGGCT